CGGAGGGCCGAGGTGGAGTCTAGGGCTTGGAGGTCTGAGGTGGAGCTGAGGGATCCACGATGCAAGGCGGAGCTGATGACTGGGAAGCCTTAAGCGGATCCGTGCAGCAGAGCAGAACCACTGGAGGAGCTGAATGGAGACATCAGAGACGAGGCAGATGAACTGAATGCCTCAGGCAGTGGAGGAGGGAGAGGGAGGCTGGGAAGGACCATCAACAACAAAGGAGACTTGGAACTGGGCTTAACCAGCGACGACAGATTGAGAAAGTCCCTTGTGTGATCCTCGAGGGAGCGATCCCCCTGCTCCACCTGGAGGAGGTGGACTGCGGGAATATCCATTTTAAATCTCCTATGATAATCTTGTCTCAGTCTTGTGTTCTGTCAGGGGTTGCATGTAGTAAAATCCAATGGATGATTCCAATGGATGATGGATGATGCAGAAAGAATCCTAATTTAACTTAACTTTAAAAGACACTAGGAACGATAACTCTACACAAGGGAATGAGAAAGTCAACAGAACAGGAAACAGGTGTGGACTAATTAGGAACCATGACAACAGATTAATGACCAGAATTTAAAACAGACAATGAAAACTATGACTAAAACTAAACAAGACAGAAACAGAACATTACTGAGACAAGTATTGCTAGACACAGCTAAAGCTTATTGAAATTTCTTTCCAAAACTGAAAAACTCCCCCCCCACCCCCCCCCAAAAAAGACTAATTTAAAATTGACTATTTTGATCAACATGTGCTATGCATTTTTATATTTCTATGTATATTTCATGTTTTTATGTAACTAGCGCCACTTGTAGCACACTTCAAAACAATCCCTAATGAGTGTCATTAGACTCATTACTGTTAGGATGCTGTCATAAAGTATCTACCTATTTAGACCAAACAGCCAACTAATTTTCTTCTTTCACAACTCACAACGTCTGCCAGTGACTTGGACAATCACACCTAAAATATAGGTGAGTTCAAACAAGTCCATGTTCAAAGTCAGCAGTGAATCACTAGACTGAATATTAATTAATGGTGTTGTTTCGTGGTGGTTTCCCTGCTGACGTCATGTGGTTTAATGAAAAATACATCATGCCTAGAGAAACACCCCAGTGCCCTGCAGCACAAACACTCACTGTTTTCCTCATAAAACAATCCTGCCATAGTTCTACTATGACTGTGTCACTTCAAATGCCATATTATGACATTAGCTGGCATGACATTTTGATTCAAGGCTTAAATCTCCTTTTGGCATAAAGGCAAATTCAGCTGCATCAAGATCAAACATCAGAATGGTTCAGGGATCCAACTCAACAGACAAGAACATGAACGCATATGAAAGCTCAATAACCAGAGCTACATCAGAAAACAAACTGGCCTGACAGCTTTCTTTGTATTTGCCAAGATGTTCTGCGTGGTTTCTAGGGTGTTGTTAGAGTGCTCATGGTTGCAAGGGCACGAGCACATAAATCGCAATCAATTAAAAGGTAGGGTAGGCAATGTTTTTCATAAAAACGTTTGTTATTCTGGTTGAAACTCTCTTCACATCCTGATAGCAATCAATAATAGAAATGGTCTTAGTATTATTATTTTTTTTACATATATCTTCTCTGGAAGCCTTAGGACCAAAACATTTTCATCCAATCATTGCATTTGGTCCGAATCCAATAATAGGATGTCCTACCTGCCTGTCAACATATGTATTTCCATACCTCATACGTCATCAGTGCGTTTAATGAGGCTATGCAGAGTTGTAGACAGACATCAGTCACAGAGCGCCATGCACAAACAAACAGCAGTTTTACATTTTCTCCTGAACCAAAACAACGAGCTTATGCTGCTTTCACGCCTGTCATAACCATAATTACGAGATGGCAATCCATGATGTTCAACCCAGAGCTGTTCACGTCCTCAGACTCGGAGTTATGCATTTCTATATCAACACTATCAACGGAGAAAATAACCTGCAGTTCTTGTGACTCTGCAGACTCTGCTGTGTGTGTTCATGTGTTTTGAAGGAGGCGTGGCTTTGGAGATGCTCTGAAGGGAGGGTGGGATCTCATGCTTTCAAAGCTAACGTGCTATTGCTAGCATCTCCACGATTGCCTACCCTACCTTTAAATTTCAATTAAAGCAACAAAACCATTTGATGACCATTATTAAGGATTCTAGATCTTTTAGCGTGAAAGTGAGTGTTTGCTGACTGGTTGCTTACTGGACCAAATCAAAAGTCGAGTATTTTTGATATTCTGGTATCTAGATTTGACGCTAGATGAGCCAAACATCCATCATGGCACTTTTTTATGAATATGGTACACTTTGGTGTAAATTTTTAAGCCTTACAGGCACAAAACCAGTGAGAACCATTAGATAATGAATTTAATAGAACCATTAGATATAACAATTGAATAACATAATATTAACACCCAAGACGTAACATCATTTGGATCATTTCTACAGTATAGTGGAAAGACGTGTATTTGTTTAGTAATTTATTTCTTACAATAATTTGGGTTAAAGTGTTGAATATTTGAGCTTGATTAGAGTAAATTTACTTGTCAAAAGTTTGAAATAATTGTGATTTTTTAAAATGTTTTTGAAATAAGTCTCTTTCACACACCAAGGCTATAGAAAAATTCAATCAACAGCAATTTTTTGAAATAGAAATATATTGTAACATTATAAATGTCTTTACTTAAATGTCTTTTTTGATCAATCCAATGCATCCTTGCTCAAACAAGTATGAATTCTTTCTTTCTTTCTTTCTTTCTTTCTTTCTTTCTTTCTTTCTTTCTTTCTTTCTTTCTTTCTTTCTTTCTTTCTTTCTTAATCTTACTCACCCCAAACTTTTGAATGATCCTGTACCTAATCAGAAATGTTTCTTGATCATCAAATCATCATATTAGAGTGATTTCTGAAAGATCATGTGACATTGAAGACTGGAGTAATGGTGCTTTGACATCAAATATGTAATAAACTGTAATAATATTTCACAATATCACTGTTTTTAGTATGTTTCGCATCAAATAAATGCAGCCTTGGTGAGCAGAAGAGACTTCTGTCAAAAACATTTTAAAAAAATCTTAATTATTTCACACTTTAGACCGGTAGTGTATTTCTCCTCAATACTCAATTTCTACTCATTCTGGTATGTTTATATATATACTGTATATATATATATATATATCAGTGTGTTAAGACTAACCAGATTTAATTCGTTACGAAATCCTATATTTTGTTTGCGATTTGTATTTAGGTTCAACACAGTCATCCTGCCTAGCAGTGTCCATACGGCGGTGTGCTGGCGAGTTCACTGGGACTTCCAGGGTGAGATCTCCCACAGCTTTGACTACTGTTACCCAGCAGGACCCCAGCGTTAGCAGAAGAGCTGAGAGATCACACCAGACGCTGCTCTGACTGAACCACCAAACCACTGTCAAAACACACCAGCCGGACTCTCATCAACTCCTCAGTGTGAACACACAGCATTGAGGGGCTGCAGAAAGAGCAAATATGCCTTGAATACGCTAGTCGTTGTTGTTTTCCGGAGAGAACCATCTCTTAAAATATAACAACACATGCACTAATATCCATGGATCAGCTCCATGATGAGGGAACCGTGCAAAAAACCAAACCCTCCACCAATCATTAAAAAGCCCTCAAATCATTTAACTTTTGCCTCAGGTTTGCCTTTTCTGATTCGATTTCTGATCCAAGCAATATCTAGAGACCAGAATATGTACATGTATACATACATACACACACATATATCATAAAATTTGATGTTAGATGCGACTAATCGGGAATAATCGATTTGACAGCACTAATACAGTCAAACCAAAAGTTATTCAGACACCAGATATCATTTTTGATATTTTTTTCCAGGACACTAGTTAATTTATGTAAGTGAGGAGAGCAATATGTGACACATTATACCCAAAAACTCTTTATACAGTGACTACCAGTAACATTTATACAAATGTGGGAGCAATAATTATTCCGACACTTTGACCTGAGCATGTTTTGCTGAAGTGTTTTTTCTTTAATTGCTAATGCTCTTTTTACACACAGACTGAACAACATGAAGCATTGCTTGGTAATCGGTTGATCTAAACTGGTATTATCTAATTGTGCAGTTAAATTTAACAACTGAGATATTCAACATATAATTCATCTGTGAGAGTCTAACAAGGACGGACAAAACCAGTGAAATATCCACTGATCTGATAACTCTGAGTTCTGCTCATATTTTATTACCATTTTCTAAACTATAGTGAATAAACTGTGATAATGTCAGAAATGTTGAAGGTGTCTGAATACATGTTGGTTTGACTGTATATTAACCCATCACCCAAAAGCTCAACATATCCCGCTGTATTAAAGTAAAAACTGAGGGTGATACTTGAAAAGCTGGAGCTTGGGGAATATGGTGTTGAGTAAATTAAATCAATACTCATATCAGCTCACAGTCTCCCTGGACAAACACTGGCAGGCTGACATGTAGGTCATCCCATGCCGTCTGAAATCTGCACCCACAGACATTGAAGTTTCTCATTTGACTGGGAAAAACAGAGCATTGTTTAAAGCTGATCCAGTGTCAGATGTGCAGTTGACTTCTGTGTGAATGTGTGAGTGTGCAGTTCTCAAAACATCCATTTTTACTGCACAGTTTAATCTCTGACATTACAAATAAGTTATAACTGTCCAGTTATCTGAAAGAGACACTTTATTGGGCCTTTAAATGAAAAATCCTGTATCTTAAAGATGGCATTGTGCAGAATCAATATTAAGAAGGATTTTTGGATAGTCGTTAAACACAAACGGAATTTTAATGGCTTTTAGATTTGGGGTTTTAATGGCTAAGTAAATGTACATAAATAATAAATGAAAAGCTCTTCGTTTCTAATGATACAACACATCTGTGTCTAATGCCATATTGACCCATAATATGATCAAGTGTACACATATCCACACATTTGTAAACCCGATGGTCTTACCTTGATTGTCTTCGTCCATATCTGCAGATTAATGCAAAATATAGAAATGTTGTGATGAGAACGCGCTCCAGACACAGATGTGTTCCTTATAATGAAGGGTTTATCTGCTGCATTTACAATAAAGGTACTGTTTTGTGTGGAATATACGACATAAACTGATGTTATTTATCTCAGTCCTCGTTTAAAATCCGTAACCCGGTGTGTTTATGAACAGAGGGTGTTCAGCTCGCGTGGATCAATAACATCCAGCGGAATAAGCGCTTCACACACACGAGCATCTGCGTTTCACAGCGACCGTCACACGTCATCACACGTCATCACACTCGCCCCGCCCACTACACGCGAATTTACCAATCCTACTACGACGAAGGCTTAACGTATGAATATTAATTAGGTAATGCTGACGTTGCTTAGTAACCATTCTGAAGCCGGTCTTTAATATTCATGAGCCACCAAAAAGTCCATTTCAAAGTAACTTACTTTACTGGCAAGATAATATTGACCAAATATAATGACACACACACAAAGCAGCGACAGAAAAAAAAATGGTGATGCCAGTAGCATACTTGTAACAAAATAATAATAATAATGAAAACAATGTACAATGAAACTTAATACATTCAAAAAGAACTGAGTTGTCTTTACTTTCACAATTCTTCACCTTGCAAGCGTCTTACTTTTAGCCAATTAGCACAAGCATCACAGCGTAATTAATATTTATAAGCTAAGCCTTCACTTTAGTAGGAATCACCACAACATTTTTTGTATTGTGAACATTTTTCCACACCAAACTCATAGCTTCACACAGATTACTTGTCTTTGTTGTATTGTTTTGGTTGTTTCTGGTGTGTATACTTGTCTTTCCACTATGTAAAGCGACCTTGGGTTTGAGAAAGGCGCTATATAAAATAAACTTATTATTATTATTATTATTATTATTATTGTAGCCCTAATACTGAGGCAGAACAGAACAGAAATGATACTGGATTATATGGATTATATTTGGACTCTATATTTAACGTAAGCTAATTATACAAGTATACACGAGTGTGACGAGTGTGTAAGCTGCGCATCCCAAATAAGGGGAGTGGCAACGCTATTAGCGTCCACAGTGTTTTACTCATGATGTGCCGGGGAAGAGAAACACCTGTGGTGCATTAGCAATCAGGAATCAAAGTTATAAAGGTATGATGTATTTGTTGTTGTGCTGGGGGGGTTTTTCTGTGGCTGCTGCTGAGTTCCTCGCCGAGGCTACCGTGCCGGGACGTGGGTTGGAGATAGACGCGTGCGAATAGCGACTGGGAGGGATATTGTGCTGGGGTTTTCCCCTCTTAAGTTTGGCGGCCGCCGTTGATTTCCTTGAATGCGGGAACCCACGTCCGGTAGCGGGTAAGGAAGCCAGCAGTACACTCTCATTTGATTGTGGTTGATGTCTGTGTTGGTATTGTGTTTTTTCGCCGGGGAGGCCCTAATTTATGTGTGCAACTATTGGTCCCCCGGCGCCATTTGTGTGTAAAGTGAGCGTGTGTGTGAGTAAGGGGGTAGGAGAGCAGGTTGTTATCTTCCACATGCCTTTTATACTGTATATTGACGACGGCTATGTATTTAGCGTGAGTGGTATTGATGGGATGTCCTGATACTTGGTGTGTATTTATTGGTGTGGTATTTACGTGATTTATATGACTTTGAGGGTTGCAGTGCAATGAAATTATGCATGCTTGGTTATCACATGAATTGATTTAATGCATGTATTTAACAACCTTTGAGACCCGTGCTGAATATATTGTCCTGTTTGTTGATGCTTTATTCTTCGCTAAGTTTATTGATTAAATGTTAGCATTCATTACAAATACATGATTAGAATTGCTCCTGTCTTTGCATTAACCTGTTATCCCCCCCTTGGGTTTTAACCCCACGATTGTCTAAAAATAAAATTGTTATATTTATATCTAATGCATTGTGCACGTGAGTTTTCCTTGGTTATTGAGCCACAGAAAATTATTGGTCCAGTAGAGAACCTGTAAATCACCCTTATTACGAGTTGGGGTGGTTACAACTTGGCGTAGTTTTGGCAGTCTGGACTGTGGGCAATAACCAGGAAAATGTCAACTGCACAACCATCAGTGCAGTTACCTTCTACATCAAGTGAGGGGCAGCAGAGAGTAGATGGTTCACCGGATATGGCTCAGAATCAAGCAACAAATGCAAATATGTTTATGTTTCCAATGATGATGGGGACACCTTGGTGTCAAAAATTTAATGGAGATCAAATTGCACAGGGGAATAATTTTCAGGATTGGTATAATATGCAGACATCAACGTTCAATATATACCCTTTTTCTGAGGTGCAAAAGGTCTCTGCTGTAATAAGTAATCTTGATGGGGAAGCAAAGAGGGAAGTATTGGCCTTGCCAACAGCACAGCGTACGACAGCTGATCAGATATTGTCATTTTTGAAAAGCATTTATGGAGATATTGTCCCCCTTGCAACCCTTCGTGCCCAATTTTTTACTCGCAAACAGAGGACAGATGAGAATGTTAGGCAGTTTGCCTTGGCACTTCAAGAATTGAGTAATCGGTTGGAGAATAGGGGCGATGGCACCATTATGGGTAATGTTTTACGTGACCAATTTATTTTGGGACTCTGTGATGCAGGATTGCGTAGGGAACTACGGGGTATGGTCAGGGCAGCTCCTGATAGTTCTTTTGTAGAAGTTAAACAAGAAGCAATCCTGCGAGCAGAGGAATTTGGGGAGGTAAGGCAAGCAGTAGCTGCAACAGTGCAGTTAAAACCAGCCCCTGATACAACAAAATTGGTGGAGGAGATTAAACAGGAGGTCTTTTTGCAGTTAAAAGGAGAAATAAAGGAAATGGTTGCTGGAATGATTAAGGAAGTCCGTGAAGGAGTACAGCACTTATTGCCAAGTAGTGATGATGCAAGATCTAGGTATGAGTTAAGGAGGGGTCGGAGAAGCTCAGATCAATTTGACCATCAGGGAAGACCTATCTGCCGACGTTGTAAACAAGTTGGGCATATCGAAAGACGTTGTAGGGTTGTAGAGGGAGCACAGGGGCCTTTAAACTTTTAGAACCCACTGTACAGGCCCAATCAGTGGGTACATTTGGTAGTGGCCAATCAGAAAAGGATCATTTAATAGGACAATGTCCATCTGTGGAAGTGGTGATACAGGGGGTTAAAACGCCTTGCTTGATTGATACGGGTTCACAAGTGACTACATTGACCGAAAGTTATTTCAAAAAATATTTTGAGACCAGAGGACCAACAATGTATCCACCAATTCAAAAGTTCAATTTGGTAGCTGCTAATGGGTTAACGATTCCGTACATTGGATATATTGAGGTAGATTTGAATATATGTGGGAAAGTTATACCAAAAAGAGGAGTGTTGATTGTTAAAGACTCAAATGGATCATTGTACCCAGGACTAATTGGCATGAATGTGATTAAGGAGTGTAGAGATTTCCTGATGACACAGACTGGGGTTAGTTGTGTAGGGGCAGAAGGCGAAATGCAGGTTAAGGTGTGGCATCAGATGTTTTCGGTGTGTGAAGATCTGTTCAAGTTTGCTGATGAGTCAGGACAGATAAGTTCAATTTACTGGCCGCAGGGAAGACGGAAGACAATACCAGCTCAGTCAGAGGTAGTGATAGAGGCATGTGCACGTTTACGACCTGATAGGAAGGATTATGTGGGTTTAGTAGAACCTTGTCAAGATGTATTGCCGGGGCAGTTATTGGTAGCTAGATCACTGAGCACGGTTTCAAAGGGTAGAGTTATGGTTAGAATTCTAAATCTTTCTACAGCCCCAGTGACTCTTTTTCAGCGCTGTCGAATAGGGCAGATTTTTGACGTTGAGTTGTGTCCAAGTCGGCAAGGAGATGTAGAGTTAAGACAGTTGGATGATGAGACAGTGGAGGTGGGGGTGAGGCAGAATAGAGTGCAGGATGTAGAACAAGAACAGGTGTTTCGGCCGGTGACTGTCCCATTAGACCCATTACAATTTAGCACTGAACAACAAGAGATGATTGCCAAATTGTTATCCAAGCATCAGAAGGTCTTCTCAGAACATGAGGAGGATTATGGGTACACTGATAGGGTGTTGCATGTGATACCAACAGGCGATTCAGCTCCAATTAGAGAACGGTATAATAGGATTCCACCAAAATTATATCAAGAAGTGAGGGGACTTTTGAGTAATATGCTTGAAAATGGTATTATTAGGGAGAGCTATAGCCCCTGGGCAGCGCCTGTAGTGCTTGTCAGAAAGAAGGACGGCACCCTTCGTTTCTGTGTAGACTACAGGAGGTTGAATGGTGTTACCCATAAAGATTCGTACCCCCTCCCCAGAATTGAAGAATCATTGGCTTCATTGAAGCAATCTAGAGTTTTTTCAACATTGGATCTAGCACATGGGTACTGGCAGGTGGGGGTGCATCCAGCTGATAAGGAGAAGACTGCCTTTGTGACCCCTATGGGGTTATATGAATTTAATCGGATGCCGATGGGGCTATGCAATGCTCCGGGAACATTTCAGAGACTGGTTGAAAGTTGCCTGGGTGACCAAAATTTCGAAACATTGTTGCTTTACTTGGATGATATAATTGTTTTCTCCCCTTCTTTTGAGGCCCACATTGCCCATCTGGACTTGGTTTTCAGCCGCCTGGAGAACTTTGGCCTGAAAGTTAAACCTACAAAGTGCTTTCTCTTCCAGCATGAAGTGCATTATTTAGGCCATGTGATTGCAGAAGGAGGGGTGTCACCAGACCCAGAGAAGTTGCGAGCAGTGGAGGCCTGGGCAACTCCTCAGAATATCACCCAGCTGCGCGCTTTCCTGGGCTTGGCAGGGTATTATAGACGTTTTATAAAGAACTTTGCCCACATCGCAGCACCCCTGAATTCTATGATGTGGGGGACATCAAAACGACGCATCCGACCGGCTAAAGGTAAACAAGACTGCTGGGCATGGGGAGAGGAACAGGACATGGCATTTAAGAAATTAAAGGAGTCTCTCCTACAAGCACCCATACTGGCTTATGCAGACTTTCAAGTGCCATTTTTGTTGTATACTGATGCCAGTCAGACAGGCTTGGGGGCAGTACTGGCACAGATACAAGATGGAAGGGAGAGAGTGATTTCCTATGCAAGCAGAAGCCTCCGTCCAACAGAAAGAAATGATAAAAACTACAGTTCATTCAAATTAGAACTGTTGGCGTTGAAATGGGCTATAGTAGAAAAGTTTCGGGAATATCTTGCTGTGTCTCCCTTTACTGTG